AACATCAGAGAGGCAGGTTTTACCTCAAAGGTATGTTATCATTCTGGCCAAGAATTGAATGTTTAGAAAAGTCTTTTGGAAATCACAAAGGCCAGTTCAGCATTTCCACTGCTTTGCAGCTATCTGGCATCTAACCCTGTGGATAACAAGAGTCAGTACTTTATAATAGGAGAAATAATGTTTCACCACTAGGGATTGTGTCTGATATTTACTACACTGATATTGAATCAATTATATGTAAATTTACTGATACATACATACCTATTGCTAATTTTAAAATGAGCTCTGCCAATCAGCCACATAAGAGAATGCAAAACAGGGAGACGGGAAATAACTTTTTCTGACTTCCTGTCTCCCCCAAATTTAAATCCATATAACCAGCTCTAGACAGAACACTACATGAAATATCCGAAGTGCAAATATCACAGACAAAAAGAAAATAACTCTTCTTAAAGTAAATGGAAAATTTCTTGAAACGCCATGATTTCCTGTAGTGTGTAAACAGTCTGATCATTATGGTACAAAATAATCTCGATTTAATAGAAGAGTTGATTTTATCCTTTGCCCCATATAAAAAGCTCATAACAAAGGTTAACATAACTTCAGTTAGATATTTAACGTTACAGCCTGCAGTCTGCCTTTGATAAAAATCGCCAGTACCTTTGCAATCATTTGACGATCTCTCTCCCTCTGACGGTACACAAATCCCCGTTACATGAATTATGACTAATACACAGGCATCTCCCTGTTGCCTTCAGGTCTATGCGGCACCGCAGGACACACTGATCTGTGCTATTCTGTATCTGCATCGGCTGAACTACAATGCGAGGCAGCAGTGTTTACCAATACCTTTAGGTGGGCTAACTAGGTCCGTGTATAGATCTGAAGGCTCAGGTTGCAATTCCCAATTTTGTGGAAAACTTTGTTCTGCAGTGTCCACACATACCAAAACAGGACACTTCATTTAAAATCAGTTTAGCAAAAAGTTCCTGCTGCCCAAGATCTGCATTGTCAAAGCATTAAACAATCTGCCAGGCCTGGAGTCTGCTGGCTGCCAATGTGCTACCCAAAAAAAGGAACATTTTTGCATCTCAATAGACCTTCCAGTATCAACAAATCTTTAAATTATAAAATCAGCTACTCTAAGGAAGAGCAGAAATAATGTCTACATTGTACCATGCTGAGGCACATTTTTTGTAATTCCCATTTGCAAAACATACCGATTCGCTGTAAGTACAGCTGCTGGAAACATGTTAATAAGAAAAATAAATTAAAGCTACTCACAGAAGCGTACCAAGCTCCTGAGAAACATTCTGTTACATACACACAGCTTGGAAGCGCTCTTGGGGAAAAAAGGTGCGTCCACTGCATATGTGTGTTTGCACACATGTAGAGTTCAAGCTATCGCCACTGCACCATCCCCAGCCCCCGAAAGGTCACAAGCGGTTCGGTCTTTTAGCTGCTAAAAAGGAAAGAAATCCTATCCTAATGACTCCCGTGAATAATCTACTGTAGCACAGAGACTGGGGAGGGAACATGTCCATCATGCATGGAAGGAATGCAAGAAAGCAGCATATGAACGGCTTACACAACACGCAAAGCTGAAAAACACTCTAAGTAATTTCCAAAAGTTTACGATTATCCTGTAGGCATTATGGATTTCTGTGGGCAATTGTAGATTTTCACCCCTTCCCCAGTTGATCTCTATCATCTTTGATGTTTTATTAAAATGCTAATCACTCCTAAACTCAGTATCTAGAAAACCCACTTGCAGTATTAACTTCTATCTATATGAAAAAAATGTGAAAAACATCATCTCCCCTTCCCCAGTCATGAGAGAACTAAAAAATGAAAAGCAAATGGTATTACTGCTACTGTCAAATCATTACAAATCATTTGTAATAAGCAGAACCACTTTATAAATACTGAATAGCCAGTACAACCAAAGGGATGTGTTAGATGTTTTTTCAGTCCATTTCTCACAGTGTTTATTCACCGAGTAATCCAAAATTTTTGGCTTCCTCTGTGTCAATCTTTGGGGGGAAAAAAATGAAGGTGTCCACAGTGATTTTATTACAGGTTTTGTTTCCTAGTCACCAGTCGTCCCGGGATACAGTATTTTGCATGAGCATTCATTATATGATACCAGAAGTATGTATTGATTTAACGTTTTGCTTTTAGAAAGGCCCAACTTTTAGCACAACATTAGCTATTTCTACTAGGTATTTCACATTGGAAGAATAAATTTCTCCAAAAGTGGATAATCGTGAGACATTTGCTTAACAATGCAGAGTATTTTTTTATTTCAGAGGATTATAAAAATCAGCTTTTTCCAGAATGGAAGGGAAGTTCTTTTCTGAACAATTTCTAATTCTGTCTGAGCCAAGTGAGCTTCCAGGCATACATATAACATATATGTATGTCAGATAATACCCGACACAGAGCTCGAACTGGTCAAGCTGACCAGATCACTTTGTCTTCTTATTTCCTGGCTCCAGTACTGCATCCCAAAACTAAACCAAGAGCAAAATAAAGGAGTTAGGTTTCTATGATCTTTTTCACAGATCCAGGGGAACCAGGAATATCCGCCCTATTGGAAGAATTAATATGACTCATGGAATCACACTTCTTCATCTTCCACCATCTCCTATCCTTCAGATCACCCCTTACCTTCAAGAAGTTTGAATTCTCACTGTTTTCCTCTATCCATCAGAAGTGATGAAATAGATATGATTAGGGACTCTGTTCAGCAGATGTAGAAAGTTAACCTCCTTCCCTTTTTTTTTTTAAATATTTCAAACTGACAAAGGCAACTTGCCCAATTTTCAAAGAAGAAAAGGGAAAATTAAAATATTATAACTAAGGAAAAGACCCAGACAAACAAGTCCTTGGCACAACAGAGTTCAAAGAGCAAGGTAGCTAGAAGTGTACACAAAAGTAATTCCTCCTTGAAGGGTGTCGGTATGGTTTTACCAGTCAGCATAGACCTAATCCACTAATAAATCCTTTTACAAACCTTATAAAAGAAAAATTGGGTTGTACACAACATTTTAAAATGCAAGGAACTAATTTATATACCCTGTTAATATAAAAAAATAAGACTCTTTTTTTTTCAGAAAACCATGGGAATTACAAGTACTTCATATTTCAGAACATCCAGAAGTGATCAAAATATTTCCAAAGTGATAAAAATACTGATTTGGAAAAAAACCAAAACCCAAACATTAGTGCTTTTGTACAAAGACTTTAAAAAACTGTCCAAAGTTATTTTAAAGAAGGGCATAAGAAGCAGCCAGTGTACAGTTTCCCCTTCTTCATTCACCAATGGCTAAAACTGATAATATAATGGTCTTATTTTACCACTTATTAAGATTTTAGGCTCCAGCTACCAATCAAATTTAGGCCTTTATAGAGCTGATTCTGCATACTACCAGGTCCCTTTGCAGATTTTTGTTTAGTTGGCTTTTTTCATTCTTTAGGAGTCAAAAAATAAATGAAAAATATTTGTGTTCTGATAACCCACAATATAAATGGCTCCTCTGGCCAATATGTCTGTGCACTGCTAAGAACCACTACAAAAATTCAAGTGGGATGTAATTAGCATCACATGTACAGCATGAATTCCACTGCTAGTCAGATATATGTATATATTTTTACATATATTTCCAAATTAAGGAGAGAAATATAACCTGCCATTCACAATGAGCACACACCCAGGTTTGCAACAGGGAACCTGTCATACTGTGACTGCTTCTCATACACTTAAAATATAACATCAGTAACTATTCATGACCTGTAAGGCACAAAAGACTGTGGTCCCCCTAAATTGCATGCAGACTTTAAGTGACAGACACATTATTTTATAATTAGAAAAACTGCAGTATTTTTAAGACCACTGACTTCATTGAAAAAGAGCTTCTAAGACATATGTATACAGGGACAGACATACCTATGTACAATCTTAGTGGACCATCGAATAAAGCATTTATCTTGCCTTTTGTCTTCTTCAGACATGTTCACTCTTACAGTAATGGATGTTATGATTATAAATGTTCTTATAAAAGACAATAAAGAAAAAAAGCTGATCATCACTTCCATTCTAGTGAGGTTTGTCTGCAGACTGACCACTCCTGTAGCAAGTTTCTAGAAGTTCAGATAGGGAGCAGCCCCTGAAAACAGAGAGTGATGACTCCAGGAGAAAGGCACTTACTTGTCTCCCTGTTCAGCCCCTCAGAATTTGGGAGCTTTTCTAACCTCAGATTTCCCTACAGTGGGAAGAGCAATCCTTGATGGAAGGGGAACATTCCTTGATGGAAGGGGAAGTTCCTTATAGGTCCTTTTGTTTTAAAAAAAAGACAGAATAAGAATTATTTGGTGTTACAAATATTCTCCTTTTCTTATCACCCAAGCTCCTTCCTTTTCTTTTTTTCTTTCTTATTTTGCTTCCAAGGCAACCAGACAAGTGTCAAAATTGATATATAATTATGTTACTTTATAAAAAAAAAAGAGGTTACTTTTTATTAATATTTAACTCAGGTTTCATATTCTTAGATATTTAATAATGTGAAATCTTGCTTAAGTGTGAACTGTCACACCACCACAAAATTTAAGAGGTGATTAGTTGTTTTAGTGTAACAGATGTGCAGCCTTCTGGGGTTCTAAACCTTCCTTCTTCAAATGCATCATCAACCTGCACAATTAGCAGGAATGATTAAACAAAATTCAATCACAGCTAAATAGCAAAAGCAGAAGCACTTGCTTACTAATACTACATCAATATATACATTGTTTTATGCAAACACTTTGGAACATTTACCTGCCAGTTTAGCTCTACAAGTTTGAGTCTTTCAGTCTTTCCTTGATTATTATTTTTTTTCCATGCATGAAAAAAACCCCAGCCGCATTACTATGGAACTGAAGAAATCATTTGCATACCTAATTAAACATAACATACATGTAATCATAAAAAGCAAGAGAAAAAAAAAAAGACAGCTTCCTACCCGTAATAAGGACTGGGATTCGTCCTTTGCCTTGCTGTCCCCGGATCCAGGGTAGGGCTGGGTGAGCTGCCCGGCTTTCTCCGCCGCTCCGGCTGGCACGCCCTGCAGGAAGCCCTTGCTCTCCACCGCCAAGCCGTAAATGGGCCGCGCAAGATGGGGGGCTTCTACGTTTGGACTATCCCTTAAAGGCTTTGGCTGCTCTTGGCCAACAGACACTGGGGTCAATAAGCCTAGACTGGTCTGTGTGTATGACGGGCTCCCCCTCAAAATGTCTGTTCCTCTCCAGGTCACGTTGCGAAGATCATCACTGGAACTGTCAGTCCAACCTTTCTCCTTGAGCACTTCCTTATCGTCTATCTTTTCCCTCTTCACTATGCTGTCAGATATGGGCTCCCCCATTTTGGGGTCCGGATTAATCAGACTGTAGACCTTGAGGTCAATTTTTGGCTCCTCCTTTATAGACGAAACGCCATGACTGTCCTCCCCATTGGCTGTAGTGACGTCCATCTCCTGACAGTGCACAGTGTTGAAGTGCTCTAGTAGTGACTGAGTGTCAACAGCTGTGAAGCTGCACTGACGACATTTGTAGCAGTTGTGTACTCTCCTGGAAGAAAATGAGAAGTGTATTAACATGAGAGCCTCCCCTCGGCCTTCCCTCTTGCAGTAGTTCTACCTACCAAGATGAAGAAAATAAATTGAACTTACAGTATGATTCCCTCTAAAGCAAGCAGGTTTACTTTGGTGTCTTATACAATATGGGAAAAATCCTGCTGGTTTCTCCCCCCCCTCCTTGCAATGACCTCCTATTGCTCATTCACACTCCACTGCATTATTCTAAACTTCATATAATTTTCACTGGGATTTCGTGGTTTTTCCTCTTCAGTTTGCTGCAACGCACTTTTCACTTTCTACTGTGGCAGAAACACTGAAGTAACACTTTTTTTTAAACAAAATCAAATAGTTAGAAAAGTATAGTTTTCTTTGTATAAAAAAACCATTTTGTGTAACATAAATCTATGCTAGAAAGTTCAAATGCTTAAAAAATTTCTTTGCTTTCCACCAATTTAATATACTTTTGGTTGACAAAGGTGATTTTGAATGGAGGTCTGGTTAACTTACGGATAAGAAAACACCAAAGGACAGAAGGTTGTACACAACAGACAGTACTTATTTGTTGTCTGTGGACATTTTAACACAACTTTAAAAGAAGCTGCTCTAAAGAAAAAGCAAAATAGTTGGCTGTGTCACTACAAGCTGTGTTTTCCTGTCAAATACAGAAATGCTTGGGTACGAGCTGTGGAGCAGTGTGGAATAAAGCGCCTTCCTGTTTTTATTCTAAAAGCTTATATAAAGTACTGCATTACTAAATTATGTAAAGCATATGTTTCTACATGAGAACAACATGTTACCCATTTACTGTATCTATCATAGGAACAGAACACTGTTTATGAGCTTTATAATGCTATTATGAATAATTGTTTATAGCACAGGAGCGGTCAGAGCCCTCTATCAAGCTCCAGGCCCCGCTGCGCCCGGCGTCGTACCAACGCAGAGTAAAATACCGTCCCTGCCCTTCATCAAAATGTACATAACTCTGCGAAAGCTTCTCCCTACAGACACACTCACACATCCACACCCCAGGCATTCAGAGTCACAGCAACGTCTTTAGCCAAGCTAGAAAACGAGCCTTTCGCTATCCACACAGGACAAAACTTGTATGAGAAATCTGTTACTGCCCTGACAACTCCAATTGTTAGAATTAATTCTTTTGAGGCCAAATCTTAGTCTCAGTGAAGTCGATGGCAAAACTCCCATTGACTTCAGTAAGAGCAGGATTTGGCTCTCAGTGCATCTGTAGAACTGGAATGATACACAAAATGTCCCTTTTAGAGTATGATAGTTTAGAAGGGACAACTTGCCAAACTTATTAAACCCCCTTGTCTTCCTTCTTTCCTTTTGTTGGAAAAACAAACCATATGTTATTTACATTGTCTGACTTTCCTGCAGTTGTGTCAGCGCGCAGACATGAGTACACATTCAAATTCAAGCTTTTTAGCCCTTGTGCAATATCAGTTTTCTTTTTGTCATTTTCTGTATTTATATTCATTTTAAGGGACTGGATGGGCTCATTCAGTTATGCAAAAAATAGAGTCAGCTATTCTCCACATAGCCTTATGGCAACCAAATCTGCTTGTGGGAGAGCAAGCTGTGGGTTAAAATCCTGTTCTGGCTGTGTTCCTTTTTCTTCATTCTACAATTGTGTTTTATTAAAATCAGCTTGTCTCTCAGTGCGACACTAATATATTCTCTCTTGCAACTTAATTCTTTTCTAAACCGAGCTTAATTCTCTTCTGAAACAAAAAAAAGAGAGAGTGCTATCTGATCAAAACCATTTTACAAATACAAAAAGCCAAGTTATAAAGAGGGTCAGCCCCGTAAAGGTGGGATATCATCAGGGAAGTCCAAGTTAGACAGGGGCTAGTTATCTTAAAAGCCAAGTTAAACAAGACACCATTTGGGGCTAATGGCTCAACCGCGTACACTCCCCACGTGAAAGTTTATCAATCCTTTGGGAGGCTACTTAGCCCTAAGTGTCTCTTGTTTAACTTGGCTATTTCAATAGCTAACCCCCTTTCCTAACTTGGCTCTCATCTAGATATCACACCTCCAAACAGCTGATCTTTTTCTGCCTAACATCTTTTTATTTTTCCCCCCTTCCACACTGGCTAAATGTTTTTGATCAGGAGCAATATACACCACAGGAGTGGTACCACACTTGTGAGGCCACAAATAAATGCCAAATATTAGATGCAGTTGTAACTACATGGCTGAGGCCCAGCTAAAATCACCTTTATTACATAAAAGGTTTGTTCATTTAAGTTAGTTGTAATTGATTCAAAGAGCATCATACAAGCGTTCCTTCGTTTTTCTGTGAGACTGTGATAGGCACGGTGATGTGGAAAAGACAAGGACTGATTTAGGTAGATAGTAACCCGACAGGCTTTTTTTTTTCAGGACCTACACTTTTCTAGTATGCATTAAAAAGTAATCTCTGCCATCGACATTATAAATCTTCATACTTTGCATGGGTTTGTCATGTATATTATTCTATCCCCAAGCTCCAAAAAGAAAGCTAAAGTTTGGAACTGTCCAATATAAGTCACAGTCTCAAATAATAAAATAATAACTGTCATCAGCTATTAGAGAACTTTTTAAAGTTAGAAACTTATTCTTTCCCAGAACAAGGCATAAAAAGAAAATGTTTTCATCTCTGACTGTTTTCACCCCACCCTGATAGCAATCAAGGAAACAAGTTGGGAATGTTTGATTTCTTTTTACACTAGAACTTAAACCCACCCCATGTTTCTAAAGGCCCAAGTTACACCTAGATTTGTGCACAAAGCTCCTCAAAGCTAAGCAACAAAACTTTAAAAATTCCAATTTGCAAAGTACACAATAAGCACTCCCGTGCATTACCTGAAAGTTACACTTTACAGCTAAACCACAGTTATACCATCTGAAACTCTGAATTCATCAGGTGCAATACAGTGTATTGGTATACAGCTGATCAAAGGAGAGATGTTTGAGGAAAACCTCAGTATGGAAGAAAGCAGTGTAAATGAAGAAGGAAACAGCATTCTCCCTTTTGTGATCTTGCTTATACACCACTCAAGCAAACTAACAGCAGGTTCAAGCCATAAACTGGCATTATCTTCAATGGGGCACTGGGATGGCAATGTCATCCCATCCACTGATGTCACTTAGCATTATTATCACTACAAAATAAATCAAAGACCTGATTATTCGTGGACATTAAAACATTTATGGCCCAATCCCAAGATTAAATGTCAAGGAATTCAGGCCAAACCTTTGCTGTATTGTTACATTCTGACAACTTAATAAAGTCCTATCATTATTTATTTGTACTGAAATGTATTTGAATTGGGTGCTATAAGATATAAGGATTTTCCCTTGCAAAATCTTGACGTTGGAGAGATTAGATGGGTTTTTCTGGATGGATTTCATGTTCTTTACTTGAGCTTTCTAATAGGCTGTGATACTCCTGACACTAGCCAGTTGTTAATTAAGTCTTGTTGACATACTTCTAACTAGTCTGAAGTATTACAAAACACCATCCTCTACGAAACAAGTAATTCATTTTTTTTTTTAAATTACCTAAAGACATTCCTGGGCTCTAGGGCATAGAAAATATTCTGGATGAAGGTACGGCTGTCGTATCACTTCCATTTTTTTTGCCTGTTTTGAATTTCATTATGAATATAATAATTACTAGTATTTCTCATGAAGAAACAGGCTTATAAGAAAGTTTACTTTTGGGATGGGTGCTGCACTCAGGCTTCTGGGGAGCGGAAAACATTCAGAAGGAAAGACAGTGAGCAAAGCAAGCAAGAAAATTCAGCGGCGGGTCAGAAAGGGGAGGAGAACGGGCAGAGCGGAGAGCTGCCCGGAGATGAAAGAAGAGCAAAAGCCATTGGCAAGAGCAAACAAGTTCAGAGCAGTGAATTAAGGTGTCAGGAGGATGGAAACGGTCCTTGCAGCTGCTGCTATTGTTCAATGAGTGAAGGCTCCTGCTCTGCCGAAAAACCGGGAGCTGGTGGGCCTCAATTTACACTTTTGCCCTTGGTTGGCTTCTCTGGGGAGCGTCCCAAAGGCTCCACATTTCCATAATCTGCACGTCTAAGACCCTGCTCGGCTTCTGCTGCCTGACCGTGCGAGGGGGCAGCCCCGACACCCCTGTCCCCGACGTGCAGCCCTGGCGCTGGGGAGGCGCGAGCCCCGAGTATCCCTTTGCCTTTTGCCCCTCTACCACCTTTATCTTTAAGAGGGAAGGAATTATTTGATTTGAAATTAACTCAAAATTAATTTCAAAAGAGAACCCTACATAACTACTGCCATCCACATTTTCAAAATAATTTATTAGAAAAAATGATTCTACACCATTGCCAAAGCTTATATTTCATTTGAGTCTATCTTCTTTTTATATTTTGCAGTTGTTTAATGAATCGCTACCCTATCTTTTTTTTAAAAGAAGTTTAGAGCATTTTTCAGCATAACATTTTTAATTACTACTAGCACCGATCAAATGCTTCCTGTCAAAGTCTTTTTTGACAAATAAGGATTTACATGAAAAATTCTAATTTTTGCAAAAATGAGAAAATGCATTTTTTTATGCATTGTTTTCCCACATCTTTTAGCAAAATTTAAAAAACACACTTCTGCAAGAAGCCTCTTTCATTTTTAAGAAAAAAATTAAGATTTAAAAAATTAATTATTCGGAGCAAGCAGGAAAATAATCTCTAGACTAAGTGATTGGACACGCAAAATTTCCCCAAATACTCAGTCTGATTTTTATCTAAATTACAAGTGTTGGCATCTTTTAGCTCATCAGAATACCAGACAGTTTTGAGGGAAAACTAAGCTTCACAATGAACATGAAGAGTACCTGATTCCTCAGAGGTATAATGGAAAATGAGTAGTAGCAGAATTAGTAGAAAATGGAGGCCAATAAACCTTCTGGGGATTTATTTGACAAAGCACATTTTAGTGAGGTTTAAATACAAGTAAACTCAAGTGCAATGTGATTCATTAACTTCAAATATAACTGAACAGCTCTCAAATAATCATGTCAAGAAATACTGAATAAGTGTTAAGTATACGTTTCTGTAGACAGAAAACTTGGAAAGAACCGCTTTTGCAAATTCTAATACTGTTGCAAATACATGGCTGCAAAGGAATAATATTGGGACATAGAAAATTTCCTAGCTAGCAGACATAGTGAAATTGTAGATGTGGAGCCAAAAGGAAACAAAATAAAAAAGAAAACAAATTAAGCATGCTGTTCAGGCATATGACTCAAAAATGAAAATAATCAAAAATGCAGACAAAAAATACATGACCCAAAATATGTAAGTAGCATCTAAAGTCAGCTCTGATACTCACAGATTATCAAGGGTAAACTTAAATATGTGAACAGCAGAACACTTTCTGCCACATCAATGATTATGTTTACCATTAGAATCCATTCAGCTCCTTATTATATAAATGGACAGGTTTTATATATATGTGCATGTATAGCATTTTAAATACATCAGAAATACATAATGTGTGGCATAACAGCGTTATTGAGATAAACTCTGATGAAGCCACAGAGAAGGCCAGCTAGGATGTGAGCTGACTCCACATCAGCATGTTTCTGTGTGTCACATAACTCCCTAACGCTACTATTTTATAGATGTTCTACTTTTTTACATCTGAACTATTCTGTACCTTTAGTTCATAAAATACAAAAAGGGAAAGAAAATACATATCCGATACATGCAAAACTTCTATTAAAAAAAAAAAGGCTTGATAATAAAAATAGAAGCTATAATGCCCCAAAACTCTCCATTTGTTTTAGTCTGATGGAGTGAAAACGAGGTTATGCACAGAAAAGCAATAAAACCTGCTGGTGTTTGCCATTACAGAGCACCTACCACAAACTGAACTAACTTCTGTGATTTCAAAGAAGATGCACAGTGGGGGAAAGCAGCAGCAGTACACGCAGAAAAGAAACAAAAATCAAATTAAAAAGGGGAGAGGACAGGAGAAAGGGAAAGAAGTTGGCGGTTATGGGGATGTTGTACTTCGCTTTAATTACACAACATCCTCAGAGTACTCAATAATGTCATAGGCTGAAGGCTTAACAAAATACATTGTTCGAGTGTCTTAAACAGAATAGCCTAATTTTAGACAAGTTGAGATTCGAACGCTTGATTTTCCAAAGTGCAGTTCCCTGTGACAACTGCCAGAGCTGCAGGGTGCTGAGCCCTCCGCAGGAGAAGCTCCTGCTACCCCATCTCAGACTTAGCACTTAATTTTGAAAGTTACGGCTTCTCCTTTCCTTGGTAAAAAGGATTTTAACTAGGCGTGCTTGTTAAAACTTAAATTACCAGCTGCAGCAGAATAAAAGTGTTTTTTTCAGTCAAGGAGCCATTTCAATCTTCCAGTTATTTAACCACTAAAAAAAGATCGTGCCATGCCCCAGCGGCGGACAAAGTGCTGCCTATGGAGTTCTGCAGCATGGCTCAAAGCTGCTATAATAATGCTTGGAACTCAGATACCACTTTTCATCTTCAAAGCAGTTTACAAACATTAACTAATTAATCCGCACAACATCCCTCAGGCCCACTTGGATCAAAAATGGGGCACTGCATGCTGGGACCTGAATCCTCCATGGGCCCCAGCTCCAAATTAAAGATGAGCAATCTGCTTTTTTTTTTTTTTTTTTTAAAATAGACTGATACATTGCCAATGCAGCCCTCTGTTGGGCAACATTTGGATGCCCCCAGCTTTAATCTCTATTAAAGTATCATGCCCCAGTCTGCCTTTGTTAATTTTGGATGTCTTGGAATCTATTAAACATGGCACAGTTTCTTGAGCTTTTAACAAAGCTTTAGCTTTGAAAATGCATCTTCTTTTGTCTTCATTCTAGCTGGCTTCCATGCAAAGATCTTTTAGATGAGATAGACACCGAGTTTTCCGTTGTTGTTGACGCATTAGCCTTAACTATTAACATATTCAGCATGATTTTCTAATATTTAACATCGCTTTTGCAGCGGCACATAACTGTTGCTCTTTACAAAGCCTAAGAGCCAGCTCCTCCTCTGATGTAAACTGGACTGCCAGTTTACAACAGCCCAGGAACTGACCCAAGAAGTTTAGCAGAGAGTTGGCTGCCACTATGACATTGTGTCAGACTGAGTCAGGAGACTGGCTGCGTCCACCTCCAAATAGGAACATTAGCATTTAAAATAAATAGAACGACACTGTAAACCAGCAACACGAAAATAAGCATCTGCAAAAGGATCTTGGGGGATGACATCAACAGACAAAAGAGTGTCTGCTCCCAGTGTGAAACCAACACCAAAACAGCAGTGGAATGCTCTTAAACTAATTATTGCATTGCTGGACTTGGGAATGGAAAATACTACAAAAAGGTAGTACATTGAAGCACTGTTACAGAGCATGAAAGGATTCATAGTCTATCTTGGAAAGTAAAGCCATTTGTGTTCCCCTACTGAATGAAGATGCCAGCTTTCTGGTAAAAAGCCTACACTAAAATAGTACCTAAAAGATTCTGGGTGGAAAATAGTTGACCAAACCTCAAATATGCTGGAACTTCAGCATCTGCACACAAATCCAAATCTCCCTCTTCTTTGCACAGGTTTAAATGTATAATTAAATCCACCGACTTAGCTGGTGGTTTTCCAAAACAAAGTGGATGTTGGATTGGAGTCTGGCTGTAAAGATTTATATCTATACGCATTCATATTTTGATTTCCAGTTTCCTCAAATGTTTGGGGAACGGTGACATTTAATTAAGGAACTAAGGGAGGGGTGTTTGTTTGGGTTCCTATCATTAATCATTTGAAACTTCACTGTACCTGTAGTGTCGGGAAATCTCTTCTTCCACCTGGGTGGTAAAGTCACATTTGGTACATGAGTGTTCTTTGTTCTCCTTGAGCGTCAGCGGCCCCTCTGCCCCTGGCAGGGCATTTGTTTCTGGTTTGACATCAGACGCTTGGGCTTCGTGTGCATTCTCATAGTGGAGCAGGAGAACGTCCACGTCGGGAGTGGAGAATGAGCACTGATGGCACTGGTGTTTGACTCTAGAGCTTCCTGTCACCCCTGGAGACAGGTGCAAAAGCAAGAGAGCACAGTGGGAACAATTACTTTTTCTGCAAGCAAATGGATAAGTAATTTCTCCAAGGTGCTTTTCTGGGCTGCAGAGGCCTCGGGGACAGAACTGACAGTGCTTAATGGTACATTTATGAATGTTGTGTAGCTGCTGATAGTGACGGAGAAGTGGGCCCACCACTATTACATCTGGGCCATGGCTCTTTGAGTACCTAAAGTCACAGAACTGACAGTTGTAGCTTGTCACCATGCTGTCCTCTGCTCCTTTGCTAGTCAAGTCTTTCTTTTTTGCCACACTCGCACCCTTTTCTGTCTTTGTCACTAACTCCCCATCTGTATTTTTGGCTAGATCATTCTGGTTAATAACAGATCCCCTAGAAAGCTTATCATTCAGATCTGGGTGAAGGCTTCCTGCCTGGCTTCCCCCATGCTGTTTGCTGTAATGTTCTAATAGTTTCAGTGAGCTGGACGATTCACAGCTGAAACTGCAAAATTTACACCAGTAGTAACTGGTTGTATCGGTACCATTTTGTCTAGAGGAATCTATTGGCTTGATGGGCACCGAATATCCAACTGGTGTATCATCTCCTGCTTTTACAGTGATTCTGTCTTGCCACTTCCCCAAGTCTCCAGAATCACATGGTCGAAGAGTAGGACTGGATTTATTGGAGTTTTTCTCTGAAGTTTTACCAGAATCAGAGGAGGGAAGGGCTGCTTTCATTTTGTTTGGGTGAGTCTGTAAGAAGTGTTGCTCTAGTTCAGTGGAGGAGTTGCCCATGTAGGTGAAATTGCAGAATTTGCAGCGGAAGTACTTGGTGTTGCCTTGGCAATCTGGAGTTTTCCGCCCAATTCCAATAAAGGTTCCACCTAAAGTAACCTGTGAATAAAGAATAAGGTCATTTTAGCTCCACTGTAGACTTATTCAAATAGCAAGGAAAGAAAAAAAAAAAATAGAGAGCAATTAATTCATAAGCCTCTTTCATTAACCATCACCACCATTTTCATTTGTACAAATGTAGTAATGTATCATACATATACCCTCACGTATTTAGCATTAGCTGCTGAAGATTTTGAAATTTTTCACATAACCGAATATATATTCCAGATTAATAATAAATATATATCTTTGGGGAAACTGAGGCACATGTACACAACATGATCTTAACTCAGCGTTCTCTGATAGGACTATTCCTTCCTTCACTAAATCACGTCATTGACAGAAGATCCAATGATCAGTTCCCGTATCCCTGAACTCTTTGACAGGAGACTTTGCTGGGAGTCTGTACCAGGTGTGGAACAAAAGAACGGGTCCTCAGTCTTTTTCTTTCAATACGCTTACATGTTTTAATCATATTCATGCTTAACGATCCAAGAGAATTACTTTCTAAATATGAGCAAACAAAAATTAAATTTGAAATAATGAATTCAGTTTGCTGGGTCAGAGTACGACCAATTCTTATAAAGACCATTTCTACAGGAATATCCAGTATCCGTCAGGACGCCTTTTAACACAGCCATAGTGGCTGATGTCTGAAACGAAAGGCGGTTTTCTCAAAGATTACTCAGTGCAGACATTCTCCAAGGAAATCTTCTGTTCCTCTGATGCACAGAGCTCAATTTAGTAAAACAAGGATGGAAAAACTACAGTAGAAAAATGGCATGTGGCAAAGAAACCTACCACACCCAAGTCCATGACATCACCAGTTAAAAAAACAAACAAAAAAAAAAAAGGTAGGTCTACTTAACTGTTCTTATGATCTCTGAGCAAAATGGTCTGCAGGAAGGAAACAAGGCTTCCAGGGCTTATGTTATTAAACCCTGTGTTCTCATAGCAGGCAGGCCTGACCTTCCCAGGAGTGCACCACACCTGCCCGTGACATCAGGGGGAGATTTGCTGCTCCTGTACAACTGGTTTGAAGGCCAAAGAAAGACTCTCCTGGCAAAAATGTCACCACTGCTCTACTTCTTTTCCTGAATAGTAAACAGTGTACAGCATCGAGAAGGTAATTCCTCTTTACACCCGAAAACCACAGACATCTACTCCTTTGCCATCATCTAGTCTACAGCACTACATCAAGGACATGGGTGGAAGCTTCCTTGTGCCACGTTCTCAATTTTTACACCCAAGAGATGCCTTACAGGGAGTATGAAATTTCCACACAGGGTTTGATTTCCATTCTCCCAACCAGTAAGTGTATTACTACATTTCTGCAGGATTCAGTTGTAATGCATTAGGCAAATGGTGTAATTATTTTTCTTCTCCTCCTCAACAGCTGTGCCATAAAGCAAGCATGTGATCACTGCTCATTCAGTATCACACCATACGGAAAGACTCAGACATACAGAGAGCATGAAATGTAAACATTTTTAAATGCATATAATATAAATGCCTTTTAGCCATTTAGCTCAGAGAATGAGACACTATCCTTTGTATCCCATCAGAATTGAACATGTATAGTGAGTCAATGAGTTGCTAAACCATGATTTAATGAGCTGCTGCTATTCAGCCTCCAATTCTTTTTTTTTCAAGAACGCACAATTCCCATGCGCTGGTTAAAACTTTTTCTTAAATAAACTGAAAATTGCTTTCTGTTTGTTTAGGAAACGTATCTCATTAGGCAATGGTGAGTCGGGCAGCCAAATAGCTAGGACTTAGCTGTAATAACATTGTCAGTTAAACTGGGGCTCCAAGTTCTGGTATCAAGTTATGAATTTGGTTTTGAAGAGGTTCTTTGGAAGATGGATGTTTTAACAGAACTTCCGTACTGCAGAGAATATCTTGTTTTATTCATTTTATGATGAGCAAGAACTGGAGACAAAGCCATGCTGAGCCTGATCCATGGACAACAGTGGGATTTGGGCCTGCTCCACAGTATCTGGCACCTCAGGTCTCCATCCACTGCATTATTTCAATGTTCAAAGTCTCAATGGTGTTAAAAGACAACTTAAAGAAAGCACTGATGGAATTATTGTAAACAGAAAATAACAGCAGCTCATTGCACGATTACGTAAGTTGCAAGGTGATCTTGTTTTGCTCATTTAATTAGATACTTATGTTTGTTCTACGCATGCACAGAAAACTGGCCAAAATGCTTTACCTTAAGTGGTTCTAATGGGTAAATACATTCATTGCTCAGCTGTCCATTCACAGAGCCTACAGGTAACAAACCTATTTTGCAGACACTCTGTAGATACTAGTTAGAAATTGTGAGTGACAATAACCCCAGCTGCTGTTCATTGCCAATTACTTTTATTTCTGAACACTGGAAATACATATTATTAGTACTAGCATTTTATACAATGGACTGTAAATGACAACATTTCTGTAACTTGTGCTAAACCTGCTTAGTGGCCTACATAGCAAATTTGTGTCCCATGCTAATACATCCTTCTCTGTATCACAAGAGGATAAAATAGAACTAAATATTCTCATACTATTTGTGTTAACCTGTTGCAATGGGGGGAACAACACACAATCTTTACAGCACTGGAATGTAATTGATTACCAATTATTGGGCTGGCATTTCCCTGACTACCTTGCCACAATTCAAAATAATGCATCCTATTAGGAGAGCATGTACGTGAAAGGTAACACAGAGTCATCTTAATGCTATTACACTCAAAAGCCATTTTTTATGCATAACAAAACGTACTGAAAGCCTCCTTGGGGGTCATCAGGTAAAGAGAACTGAAGAAACAGGCTTCCACGCAAAGAAGTTGGGAGAAGCACTTGAAATGACGGTATAAACTGAAGCTGTTTCAGTTTTCAGCCAGCCAAATTTGTATGAAGCCTACACATTTGCAGAACTGTTTGGATTCATACGCTTTGCTCAAGTCCTGGCTTAACTTTCAGATTTTTCAGTTACATATCGTATCTCTATGTACATAGAGATACTCCTTCACTGGGTATGTAATTGTCCTTAACCTCCTGCTCTCTCTGACCTGCCCCAAAAAGAGGAAAAATAAAGGCGAAAAAGGAGAGAGAGGAAAATACACACACACACACACACACCCCACACCACCCCGAAATCAATATCCACATTTCTGTGTGGTATCAGCAGTGATAGCTTCTAGTATTTATTCCCCTATTTCATCCTGATCCCAGCAAAACCTAGTCCCCTGCTTTGCCCTGGCAGAGTTATATTTTCTTAAGTAGACACTCTTCCCCAACATAAAGCAGAAGAAACTAAACAAAAGCAATGCTAAAATTCTGCAATTCTATTATAGCAGTCGAGTCCAAAGTGCCAGCTGACGTAACTAGTGGCAGTCACAAGTACAGGCACAGCTTGCACTGGAAATGTAAGAACACCTATAGATCAACAGTCCCTTCAATAAGCACAGAAGAAACTAATTCATTATTCTCTTTTTAAAGTGAACCTAACATACCAGGCATCTGTTTGGACTGGGGAGACCTGATTTAGTTCTTTCTTTCACTGTTGCTTTCTTGTGAGATCTGGGGTTATTACTTACTCCTGCAGCACCTCAATTATGGCAATATAGTTGGTATTATTATAGAGGAAGATCGCTATTAGAATGGGTTCTCCATTATTGCACTTGAGATGGTTGCACTGATATTCTTCAAAAATTGCTCTTCACAGCCATGTCAAGTCTTGGATTAAACCGAAATACATTTTGCAGTATGACTCCCTGCAACTCAAAACTCTTAATCATTAAATTCATACATTAATGGGGAAATTTATCAAAATCTAGAAGACTGGGGAAGAATTTATCACAAGAATTGAAGTTCATGTGTTAATACAAGTAAGCTATCTCCTCACACACCACGCACATTTCCAAAAATAGCCAGAAAGAGGAGAAAAGATAATACGATAATTGACAATGTTTCAAGATGTACTTTCTAAAGCATGTTGGCAAGTACTTCAACAAAGCTGTGTAATTGCACTATATGTTTCCAACAGATATGTCTATATTACCTTAATTAGTCAGACCAAAAACAATGATTTCATGGAATAGATGGACTTGGGCAAAGAGAGGTACTTTCTTTTTTTTTTTTTTTTAAATGTTTTATATTTTATCTGCCCTTGATCCAAATGCTACCCTACTTTATTCTCCCACCTCCTTTTTGAAGTTCAATCCTAAATCTTATTACGCCAAAGCAATTTAAAAATACTGCTTACGGAAAATAAAAAACATTACCAAGGAAGACAAAGTCTGTCAGCTCCTGTAATCATACGTTCCATGAAGAAAATTCCACCAGCAGAAACTAGTGGCCTATATCCACGTAACAGATTCAACCACACGGCTTACATGCACAGGGTAAAGCTGTCTTTGACCCCTGGCTTCTTCTGCAACTACTGATTAGAAACTAGACCAACCATCTGCATTGGAAAATCAAATGTTAATAAATCTTCTGGTTTTGATTACCTGGGTTACATCTTTGGCTAATCAGGAGGTGAAAGGCTCCAGATCCCTTACCAATCTCCTGAGCCATCCAGTCTGCCTTTGCCAATTACTCTTAATCTTCTAATCCTAAAATATTTTCTAATGCTCTTGTTTATTCATTTGCTTTGTGCAATATAGCATCCAGAACATTTTAACCATCCCACATTTATGAAGTTCTTCATGTCGTGCAGGCCAGAACAGATTCCTGGCTTTCATGCAAGTTTGTGTAACACCACCCAGTTCTCTAACCTCCACTATGAAGAACTCACTCCCTCTCACTCGCTCTCTGCATGTAAAACTAGGAGAATCTTCAGAGTGTATTCTTAAAACTATTTACCATACTGTGATTAATTTATTGGTAGACAGAACTATGTTGCACAAGTGAGGCAAAGACTAAGGGCAAACTCCTGGCTTCCTGGGCTATTCGTACTTACCAAAACAATAAAGCAAACTATTGGGTCACATTCATTCAAG